TCGATGGGGAAAAAGAATGAGTGAGTGGTGTTGATATCGTGGAACTGTAATTATTTCACTTCTGATATTTGTCATTTTTTCTTCTGTTCGTACTAATTCATGGACATCTCGCTTACACAGGGCTGCATCGGAAGAAAAGGATGAAAAAGGTAACGACGTTAGTAAATTACATTTAAAAAATATAACTGTTTGTGTTTCTGTGGTGAATAGTTTGGGTTGCCTGAGCTGCGAGGAGAATGGGGAGAGGGACTTCTGTCTTTATGCTGCTCAAATTTCCTCTCCCCACCCCTCTCCCCAATACAACTGGGGTAACTTTGTCTTATTCTGAAAGCCAGTCCACACACGCTACAATTTAACTCCTTGTTTTGCCATTGTAGACGGTGCACTCTCGTCACCCAGTTTTGCAGATCAGATGAAGAATTGTGCCACGTACAAACTGTTATCGCCGGTCGAAAGACAGGTGAGTCTCTGCATTAGCAAGTCATACATTTTGTTGTAATTAGTTTAGGTTCAACTGTGATGGCTAATTAACAGTTAGATTATGAGCTCGAGATTTCTATCGCGTGAGCGCAGCCCGAGTCAACTATCACGCGTAGAAATCGAGAACGAATAATCTAATTGTTTTAGTATAAATTTACTTGTCGTTCTAAACCTCACGGGCACTTCGAAAACGCAAAGAAGCGGCCGCCACTTTGTTAACGAGCGCACACTGCTAGGCTACTCACTATTTAACAGAATAGATAGTGAAGCATTCGTGATAGAACGCTAGTCGATTTATTCTTAAGTGAATTTGTTTTTTCATCGGCAGCTCTGTGCGTCCATACACATGAAACCAGGATTTTACATCACAATAAAGACAATCATATTAAAGGTGAGTGAATTCAAACCTTGTTAATTGACGTGTCGAGGTGTTACATTCATCAATGTTTTTTTTTCCTGATGCATTCTAGTATGCAGCCATTTTCTTATATGTTCTCTAATGATCTCAACAAAACTGAGACCTACCCTAGTTTTAAAAAGTCACCGTTTCAAGACCAACACGTTAATGGGGCTTGGAAACTAGGCTAAATTTAACAAATTGATGTCAGTTTTTCATGCGTCTGTCCTGTTCTTAGTCGTGACTTCCGTCATAACATCGTCAAAGTAGCTGTGGATCTACGAGGCGATATCCAATCCGCAGACTACAATGTTATGACGAAATTCATTGCCAGTAACAGGACAGACGCAGGAAAAACTGACGTCAATTTGTTTTTTACAATAACAAAAAAGTAGAAGGGACAAAATTATGTATTCATGTGTCTGTTCGCTTATTTACGATGAAAATTAGCCAATGAACGCGCGAGGATTTCCGCAGTTATTGTAAAGCATGTCTGTCTAAAAAATAAAAAAGAACTGGTTTTCTTTTTTCTTTCCACAGGACAATCTCCTCAGACGTCAAGGCGTGCAGGTTAAAACTCGTTACCCACCGAACCTCGACAAAACACACAGAAAACACATCATGAATTTTCTTAAAGAAAGCGGCTGGGTCGCCACTTCGTGACGCTTACTATAAAGTAACGTCTCAATGTAATTTAGGACAAATACAAATATTGACTTCGATATTGTAAATATCAGTGACTATGAAGGAGCTTAGTATGCAATGTCGTCAAAAAATGTACCGTGTACAATTAAGCCTGGTTTTCACTAGCGACGCAAGCACAAGCACAAACGCAAACACAATAATTGTTATTTCACCGTGAAAACGGCCTTGACGAAGGCACAAACACAAGGATCAAAATTTTTCCTTTTTCTTGTGCTTGCGCTTATGCTTGCGTTTATGCTTGCGTTTGCGCTGCAACGAGTGAAAACGGAACACCGCTCAGGCATAACACAAACACAAGGATATTTACCACACGTGGTTATGTTTGGCCAATGAAAATACTGGATCCAGAT